CAACAATGTTTTTCTTTGTTTATTTTTATCACTAGAAATTTGGAAAAGTTTTCAATATTCAGTGTATTGGGTAAGACACTGAGTTATGAAGTAGAACAGATTCAGACCAGTGCTTTTGTGCACCTCCCTCCGCCCCCAACCCCTCACCCATCTTAATGGCTTAAGGCCATGGATGGCACATCAAACAGTTGCATCTCACAGAGTCCAACCCCAGCTCCCCCAGCACCGGCTTTAACTTGGCACCAAAATAAAAAGGGTTGGCTTGGCATAAACTGCTGTTGGTGCCATACGAATTAATTTCCAAGTGTGGTGCAAAAATGCAAGAAAAGATAGAAGATCGGGTGTGCCACATAAGCACATACTGTAGCTGCACATAAAGACTAATGGGGCTGTGTTGTTTCATTCAACCCATTAGAAAGGAAGAACTGAAGAGAACAATGAGTGGCAACTAAATAATTTAGAAAGGGGAGTTTAAAAAGCTTTAGGAGGCTCAGTCCAATGCACCAAACACAGCTGAATAAAGTATCAACACAGATATATTGAGATTTAACACTACTATAAGATGTATCCATTTGTTTAATATTATTTATAAGGTACTGCTGATGTCTTAGCATACCCCTTATTGTACTTTTCCAGTACTGTATTTATCTGTGTCATAAAGTCGTAAATGTTAAAACTTGTGACACAGCTCAATGTCCAGTAATGGCACCAGTCTGAATTGTGTTTTTTTTTTTTTTTTTTCTGTAGTATTTATTACTATTATTATTACAGTTTGTTGTAAAGTACTGGAGAGAACTCTTAACGAGCAACTTCTTGTCATTCAACATGATTTCCTTCTTTGTGTATTCACACTGACTCAAAATGTCATGAGGTTGAATTTAGCTTCAAAATAAGTATGTAGCACCTTTGATCTTGTGTTGCACACATCGTAGGCTGTCTAGGGCTCCCTGCACTTAGCCTCATGGTGGAAGAGCACCTCATCTTCTTTACAAGTCAAGAACTTCATTTTATACTGACCTCGAGATCATGGCTTCTGAAGAAAAGCTAGCAGCGCATTATATTGTTCATAAAGCAGCAGAGCCACCCACACACACACTCCCTACTTAATGCACTATTTCATCAGCAATCACATTTTCTGTCTCCTCAACTTGCTAGGAAACAGGCTTGAGCCAAGTGATGACTAGATTGTCTATCTGGGGAGATTTTTTTTTTTTGTGTGTGAGCACTGGGTGAAATGACAGACATGAGAAAGCCTTTCCACAACGTGGTATCCCTTTGTCATTTCCTTTAGAGCAAGCGGTTAATTGAAATGACAGTTCTACTTAGGTTCATGAAAGAAGAAAGAAAGGAGAGTCATATACTGTACTTTTCTTGTAGTGGTATAACAAGCCACTGAATAACTGGCTAGTTTATGTATTTACTCACCAACAAGCCATGTGTATGCCTTTGCACTGCAACTGGTATGTTTTGACTTATTTTTTTTTTTTTACAGTGAAAATTATTTGTAGTAGAATGATGCTAATATGCTGACATTGCCTCAGAAAGGGCATCCAGCATAAAACAATTGCCAAGTCTATCATGTGAGTTTGCTCATTGTGGCGACCCTGCAGAAGGCAGCTGTCGAAAGGAAAAAACAGCAAAAACTTGTCCAATGTGTTGCAATTTCCTATGCAGATCTGCACTGATGAAAATGGTCAATTATCCATCAATCCATCCAGCCAGCCATCCAGCCATCCAGCCATCTAGCCATTATCTATACCAGCTTCTTCCTTTCTGTGCTGCGGGGGGCACTGGTGCCCATATCCAGCACTCTGTGCAACAGATGGGGGAAACCCTGGACAGGTCTCCAGTCCATCACAGGGACACATAGAGACAAATGAGACACACAACCATTCACACTCTCTCACTCACACCTAGGGACAATGTAGAGTTACCAACTAGCCCAACATGCATGCCTTTGGTCTGTGGGAGGAAACCAGAGTACCTGGAGAAAAAAAAAAACTGTGCACGTACAGAGAAAATGCAAATTCTTCCCAGCAAGGTCCCCAGCTGGGATTTGATCTGGCAACCTTCTCGCCGAGAATCAACAGCTCTATCAACTGAGCCAACGTGCCACCAAATTTATACAATAAATTAGTGTAAAGCGGTATTTTATGTAGAGGGCATGTATTTCAATGCACATTTTCAATGCACATGGTAAACACAAACTGTCCAAATAATGGTTTGCAGATTGCTCTGATATTTATCCTATGGAGGATTGCAAACTAACTGCTTTAACACAGAGAAGAAAAAAAAACAACTGATATAAGGGCTAGGTTATCTAACTTTTTTATGTACTTAAGACAAAATACATGACATGATCTAAACAAATGTTGGTAACTTCTTTAAACCTAAATCACTTACCTGTAAGGTTTTTAAGACCCAACTGCCTCAAACCAAAACTTCCATCTCGTCTGTAATTGAGGAAGACTGCAAGGGAGTACCGGTCCTCGTACAGTCTGGTTCCTCGAATGATTCTCAAGTTCTCCAAAGGCAGGAAGTCAAACTGGTTTAGAGCCACCAACACATAGCCTGTCACTTCCCGGATAGACTGTGGACAGAATTATGGAAGAAGAAATGTCAGAGGTTTTTATATTTCTTCTCTTTTATGATGATATAATATATACAGTAAAAGCACTAAATAAATAAAATAAAAACACTTTTGGAAACTTTCAAAAATGCATTGTTTGCATTCACTATTAAATGCAAACAAGTGTTTTGAAAATATAAGGTAGCCATTGTTCACTTGCATGACTACCTAACTTTTTTTTGTTAGTTAGTTTGCTTGTTTCATTATTTAACATTTTCTATCACTTAACTTGAGTTTTATTGGCAAGGGGTGTATATCTTTTTCAAATAAAATACATACATAAAACCTGCATATTTAGATAATAATTCCTTAAGTTTATACAGCTTCTCTTCAAAATTAAGTGCAACTGTTATTGTATTATTATTTTAAACAAGGTACATTAATAGATGAATGTAGTAGTGAAAACAACAACAACAACAAAAAACAACAACAATTGGTTAGTGGGAACATCAAAATCAAATGAGAAATTATAACGTGAAGAATACATAAATACACAAGAAAGTATAAATAAAAAATAAAACAAATAAATTAATTTATTTAAAAAAAGGAATAACTATTAATAAGTGAAAGACCTACATCAGATTATTTAAAAAAAGTATTCAAGGTTATTTTCTGCATAATCAAACAGGGTGGCAAGTTGTGTTACGGCATCCAAGGCAGGAGTTTGTGACCTCGCTGCAAAACTTGGCTCAGGGTTCAACACTCAAAGCTGGGCTCAGCCTGGGGTGACTGAGCCACAAGGACAACCATTGCTTCACACTTTAAATGTCATTTAGGGGGGGATATAATGACTGTTGAGACATTGGCAAGAAGCCAACCAGTTGGAGCTGCTGGTCTGTGAATCAAAGTGACAGGCTGTGTCCTTTTTCTCCCATCCACCATCATGGTGACTGTCATTAGCAGATGAGAGGTCAATGAAATCTTTCCGTGCTGGCGCTACTTATTTTGATGATCAACAGATCTGTGTGTGAAGTGCTGTTGCAAAATATGTAATGAGCAAAAATAAGTCCTAAGGAAGAGCACAGAGGTTTAGTCATGGCTGCTGGCAGCTGTCAGATAGTGTGTTATCATCCACCAGTGAGTTTGCCATAATGTTTAGTTTATATTATCCAGCTCATCGTTATTTTTAAAGCAGACAATTCAGTCTGTTGTGTGTGTGTGTGTGTGTGTGTGTGTGTGTGTGTGTGTGTGTTTAAATAATTGTTTGATGTGAACATATCCTTCATTTTCTTTTGTTTTTCTTTATTGGTTCAGAAAGTTGCTGATAAGAAAGATAAATTAGCTTATTTCTTCTTAATTAAATATGTTTACTTGTTCCTCTTTCAAAATCTACAATTTTTTGTATAAAACTTGCATATGTGTGTAAACATGTATGATTTTTTTTTTAAATAGTATTGCATGTGTAGTCGGCTATATATGTTTGAATATAGACACCAGGGATAAAACAAACAAACAAACAAACAAACAAAAAAACAGTTAGTTGCATCTATTTGGTTTAGTGGTTTTCTCAGCACTGCTGTTCAGACAAAATAAGCTAATGTCTGTATAGTACTGTGGAAAAAAAACAACAACATTATTTTCTCCTCATTTACAATTCAGGGACATTTTATTCTCACAGAAGTTAAGGGTTGTAAACAACAATAAGAGCAACCAAATTTTACTGACCAAGCATAAACAGAAACTAATAATTACTTCAGGGTGCACATCTCATGGGTGCTTTTTACACACTTTTTTCGGATACTGTTTATTACCCACTTGCATAGTTGTCGGTTTGTTATTTTCAAGCTAGCAAATCAATACTTTCCAACGTGCAGTCTAGCAGAGGGAAATAAAACAATGGAAAAAGAAAATGGCAGATACACACACACACACCCTCTTCCCCTTTCACATTATTTGTTCAATAATAAGGTGCAGGGAAGGAGGGAAACAACTTGTAGTGATCACAGGCTCTTGCTGAGCTAATAGCCAAATCTGTTCTGTGCATGGTCACTTTCATTAAACACAGATCAACAACAACTCCCCACCCCACCCCACCCCCCACCACCACCACCACCACCGTCACTGGTAACACTCTTGGGGCTGATAGAGTGCAAAGTATGCCCATTTCAGAAAAGCTGACATCTAGATACAGCAAATAGCAAGCTTAACAATATATTGCTTGTGAGGAATAAAATACAACTTTCTAATCTTTCCATAGATGGAAACACATTTTTTTTACAGCGTAACAAATGGAAGTAAAATAACATTTATAATTTCAGCTGATTGTAAATTTATAT